GCGAGCAACAGCAACGTTGTACAGAAAAACATTTCTATCTCCGGCACGTGAGACTGTGTATCGGATATTCTAAAATATGCTCATTTAAAAATTATTTTGCGATATTGTTCTTGAACTGAATTTTATGGTTTAAGTGCGAAGAACATGATATTTAATAAATAAAGGTAACACAGAAAACGTTAAAAAAAAAAAAAAACTCCCTTTTGGACATAATTTAAAATCTTAAACCTTTCAGACTTGATTTTTTAAAATTTTTAGCTATTTTATTTATTATTTATTTATTTTTCCTTTCCTTCCTCACAGTCTTCCATAGGGCCCAGGCACTTCTAATTTTAGAAATTAAGCCCTGCGTACGATAGTAAATAACCCACGCATGCACGTACACCCCATACGTGTTTGAGTACACGCAAATTTACACATTTTATACTTAAGAGTCATTTCGATATACAGTAAGACCCCGTTTAACGCGGGGTATACGTTCCATCAAAGTAAAGAGTAATGCGAAACAGCGCTAAACGAGGCTTTCTTAACATGTAAATAATGGGGTTAGGGGAAGATGGATAGAAAATTGGTTAGGTATTAAATTTAATAATGTTTTTTTAATAAAAATAAAACCAAACATTTATTTCTTACAAAACTAAAAACAATTTTAAACGAATATACGAGGGTTGGAACTTTAATAGTGGCAACACAGCTCAAAAAACGCTACGCAACAAAACCAAAGAATATCGCGTATACCACACGTGAACTACACACCTACCTTACCTCTCAGCAAAAAGACTCGTCCTGCCTACGTCACGCGCATGCGGACATGGACCTTATAAGAAAGGTCCTTATACCGTCATGCGCCCTTTGGACCTATGTGTCATGAGCCGGAAACATTGCGTAAAAACAGCAATATGCCGGCAATATCGATGATGATGATGGTCCATGCATGCGGAGTGACGCGAAGAACGGATCCTTGTATTAACTCGCGGTCTAAAGTAAGTGTTGTCAGGATGTTTTCAAAACAAGAACAACGATGTTGGATAAAAATTGAATGTGCCAGAGATCGTACAGCACGACAGTGTCATCAAGGGCTTCAAGTGGCTTGCGGGGAATCTGCATTGCCTTACAGAACCGTAGCAAGATGGGTGAAAGCATTCAACGAAGGACGTCAAAACGTGGCAGACATGCTGCGGCCAGGTCGTCCGAGTGTCAGCGATGCAGACGTGCAAGCTCTTGCCGCATAAATGTATCTAATGGACAATGATCGCCGCCAAACGATTCGTCAGCTGGCCGGACAAACAGGATTAGCGCATACGACTGTGCTGCACATTCTTGAAGGAACGCCTGTCCACGAGAAAAATTGCTTCACGATGGGTTCCACATCAATTGACGGAAATGCAGAAATGGCTACGATACGATGCTGCCCGAACCCACCTGGAGCGCTATGAGCGCGAAGGAGATGCTTTTTTACACCGTATCATTACGCTGGATGAGACTTGGGCCCGATCGTACCAGCCAGAACTGAAACGCCAATCAAACGAATGGCGTCATCACGGGTGACCAGGACGTTCGAAATTTCGTCAGAACCCCAGCAATGTGAAAGTTATGGCGATTCTCGTGTACGACTGTGATGGTGTCATCCTAACGCATACCGTTCCCCCACAGCAGACCGTCACTGCGCAGTATTACTGCTCATTTTTGGAGCACAATCTCCGACCAGCTTTGAGAAAAAAAACGGCGACACTTTCTGCAGAACGCTCCTCTCATTTTGCATGACAATGCTCGGCCGCATGTAGCGCAAGCTGTGACTGATTTGTTCAAGCGATGGGGCTGGGAAGTGCTTTACCATCCACCATACTCCTCAGATCTCAGCCCTTGTGACTATGACTTAATTCCGAAGATGAAGGAACCACTTCGTGACACTTCTTCTAAACTGTTCCTGAGATTCTTGCGGCAGTAGACCGGTCCATTCAAACTATCAACAAAACAGGCGCTGCTACAGGTATTCTGCGACTTCCACATCGTTGGAAACGGGTTGTACACAATGCTGGCGACTATATTGAAGGACTTTAAAACATGGTGACATGAATCACTTTTGTATTCCTTGTAAATAAATAGTTGCCACTATTAAAGTTCCAACCCTCGTACTTATAAAAAACGAATAAAATTCTCAGTCAGATTATTCAGTCTGTGTTTCCAATTTTCTGCCTTTTTGTCAAGAAGGCATTATGATAGATTGGCTTAATGGCTATCATATTGCGTTCAATTTCGTGGTCAATCCATATAGACAGTTGTTTTTCCATTTCCTCTATAATGTTATTTCTAGAACGGGTAATTCTAGTTGCAGAGCTTGACGTAGTTGCAGTTGCCGATGACAGTATTTTTTCTTTATTCTTAAGAATTGTCCTTATTGTTGAAGTTGCCAAATTCAATGCAGCACTAATTAGAGATTGACGTTCACCAGAATCTAATCTTCTAATCATTTGCATTTTAGTTTCCAGTGAAATGCTTTTTCTGGTTGCTTTCTTTTCTTATTTTTTATTATCACCCATGATAAAAACAAAAGATCATAATATTTGTCACTGTATTAATCGTTATAGTATTATATAAATTTATACTTACAATAATGTCTACAAATGTTTCAAATGATAAGAATGCGTCCGTACAGCACCGCACCAAACAAAAAACGAAACACAACTACACTATTTCGGATATGTTATTTAGAAAGCTAGCGCTGCGCACAATTTCGGGGAATCCCCGTAGAGCTGTGAGGAATTTCGGGGAATTCCCGGGATGAAATAAAAGAGCGCTAAACGAAACAGCGTTAAGCGGGGTCTAACTGTACAGCATTCGCTAGCTGTAAAATGTAAATATTGACAAAAGAGGTTTTCTTTTCTCGCGCATTAAAATTCCTTGTTTGTTGCAAAATGCTTCTTTTTTACACTCACTCCCAAAAGTAAGCACGGAGAGGAAAATGCTAATTGCTGGAAGCCAATCAGAATTGAAGAGGATGCAGTTCGCTGCAGAGGTAGATGGATATGTTTAGTAACAGCCAATCGCGCTTTCATGTCAAGAAATATGCAAAAAAGGCAGTCTTATAAGAAGCCAGCTTTATGAAGGGTTACAGAAGTTGATTGTAAGTGCTGATAGAAGGTGTTTAAAACTTTCCTACACTTTGTTTTCAAGACATACGTGTTTCTATGACTTCCAGAAGACGATTGGAAGATTCTGAGCGCTGGCGTGCTGTGAGGCGCATTCACGCAGGACAGTCGATCACAATGTTGCTCTTTTTCTTCGGCGTTCATCATTCTGTAATTTCACGTTTATGGAAACAATTCCAAAACACACAGACAGGCTACGAAGGCTCGTAGCCGGTCGCCCAAGGGTTACAACTCCCGCAGAAGATCGATATATTGCTATTGTAGCCAAGCGGAATCGCAGAGCGACCTCCACACGTGTGACATCTATGTTTACAGCGTCCATTGGTAAGGCGATATCTGCAGCTACTGTACCCCGAAGATTGCATATGAGTGGACTGTACGCCCGGGTACCTCGAGTTTGTGTTCCTCTATCCGTCCAATCAAGAAAGGCACGAATACAGTGGTGCCGGGAACATGTCAATTGGAATATGTCTGATTGGGGTAATGTCATGTTTACTGATGAGTCAAGATTTGCTCTGGAGCCAGATGACGAACGATAAGGATATGGTGTGAACAATGAACACGCAATCAGTCCAAAAACATTACCGAACATCACACATTCCGATACCGCACCGACCTGCACATCTTTAAACGGGGTTCTTTGACGGCTGTCCGGTATCAAGATGAAGTCCTAGAACCCATTGTGAGATTGTACGCTGCAGCAGTCTTTTGTTTTAATGGACGATGACGCACGTCCCCATAGAGCTGACATCGTCGATGACTACCTGGAGAGTGAAGTGATTCCGCGTACGGCATGGCCAGTATATTCGCCCGACCTTAATCCCATTGAAAATCTTTGGGATGCTCTCGGCCGTGCTGTATCTTCCCGTTTCCCACCTCCAGCCACTCTTATTGAAAACTGCTCTACAAGAAGAATGGCGATTGCTTAAATCTGCGGTGGTTGACCACCTAATTGAAAGCATGGTCACAAGATGTAAACTTTGTATACAGATGAGGGGGGGATCACATAAACTATTAATGTCCTTTTTTTTCATTTTATGCAGTTTATTTTCACTTTATACATAATTCTGTTTAAGTCTTCAATATGTCATTATCTGATAACTTATAATAATTTAATATTGTTTTCATTTCTGTATATAATTATTGATTTTGTTTTATGCATAAACATATATGTTACTTTCCTGCCGAATTTTGTGTCAATCAAAGCAGTATTTGTTGATTGTTTGCATTTTACATCTTCGTGCTTAACTTTTGGAAGTGAGTGTATTTTATTTATGAATGGAACGGTTCGTAGGAGACGTAGAGGTAGCCAAACAAATATTCCTCGACAGTTGGCGATTTTTCCTAGCGATTGGATAAGCAGAAATTATCGTATTTTCATGCTGGTACAAAACTGCAGAGAAATTGTACATGCGATATACCTTCTTCGATTGATCTCATTGTTTAGGACAATAAGCGTATTTCACTTTTGCAATGAAATGTTAATCTTACGTGAACGCAGAACGACACGATTCATGTTTATTTAAAAAACATGCAATGAAAATATGTTTTCACAAATGGCAAAAGAATCGAGTATGAAACAAGATTAAGAAGCAATAAATTTTGCATCAAAACTGCAAGAATTACTCCGGATAGCCGACTTTTGGTAATTTCTTATTTGGCAGATTATTGTTTGCACAAAAGAGTCGTAATATTCTGAGAAAAGTAAGTTAAAACAGCCAGAGAAAAATAACAGCAGCAAATTTACCATTTTCAAACTACAGATATGTATTTAAAAAGAAGAACAAATCTAAAAAGTTTTAAAAAAATCTACATAAATGTGGGAATATGCATAAAAAAATTTCCACTTACTCTCCAACTAAAAATCTTTGCATTCCTAACTTCCCTTTCAGCTTCCTATAGAGGAAAAATCATCTGAAAAAAACGAATATAAAAAATTAAATTTCAGTAAAAATTACAACAAAACAGAAATATAAAAGTTCAAGTTTACCATTCATATTATACCAAAAGAAAGTCTCTTCGCATGTCTCTTTTAATTACCTTAGAATATAAATATTAAATTAAAAAAAAGTAAGCATATTAATATAATTAAGAACTAATGTTTTCGGAGAACAGCGCAAAATTTAAACTGAACGGCTGACTACAGAATGCCAAAAATTCCGAAATACATACAGCTCGTGAATTTTGTTAGGTTTAGGAGATAAAATAATAGAGGGTGTCTGTAAAATAATAGTGAGGTTATCTGCACTAATTTTAGCAGTAATAAAAGCTACACATTAGAGTGTGAAACATTTTAACGTTGCTATCAACTAATATAATTCCAAAAAAGTATTAATTTGCTTCTAGCTACTCGTACTGTAAGGATCTTAAGTTTTACTAACGTTTATTTTATTTTAAATCTTTACTATCACTTCTTATTTTCTACTTCCGGCCAGAATTAAAAGCGTTAACTTATTTATGCAAAATTTGTCTGGCGAACGCCAAGTACTTAAGTTGTGGCTTTTTGCCAAGCGAGAGAGAGGAAGGAGTTAGTCGAAGCAGGCCGCTTGCCTTAGAAGTTTTACTCGGTTGCTGGTTGCCTTCCAGGCCAGAGGTTTTAATCCTCGTGATAATTTTAAACGTATTGTAGTGTTAACAGTTCTCTGTACTACATACGGCTTCCTGTTAATATAAGGCCAATCTTCCACGTTTATTATTCCAAAGTTAAGTTAGAGTTTAGTTAATATTTTTATATTCTTACGTTCAGACCACAAGTAGTTGGTCTCTGTATTCCGAAGTACGGAAATTATTGTAAAGAGTGAAAAATAAAGGGTTTTGTATACCCTTCTTGTGTATCCTGTCTACTTCCCACAGTTATTGAACATAGCTTTAGTAAGCTCTCTGTTCCGAGTCAGGTCCTTGCATGTTCCCGAAGAAAGTAAGACGGAACATTGAACCTGATAGTGGCGCCCAACGAAGAAGAATAACCATGGCCGAGTTTCAAGAAGAAACTGTGCTGCCTGCAGAAGCGGCTCAGAATCCAGAAATGCCAGCTGCCGCCCTGGAAGGATTTGGTTACATCGTCCAGACCATGCGCGCTTCGATGAAACCAGAAGCAACATTTAATGGAAACTCACCGGTAACCAGTTTTTTGGAAAAATTGGATGACCACTTCATGCTCTACCCCGTGCACGAATTTCAAAAAGTTACCTTAGCTACCAGCGCTTTGAGGGGCCAAGCGCTTAATTGGTTCAAATGTATAGGCAGAAGTCTCTTGGGTCAAGCAGGAAGTCCCACCTATACTTACGAGAATTTCAAGACTGCCCTAGTAAAAGCCTTCCCTGTCGTAAGGGATCGTGCGAAATTAGAAACGGAACTTTTCAGCATATATCAGCAAAGAATCGAAAAATCTCTCAAGCTTTATTTTAAGAAAAATTCACGTCTTCAAACTCTTGTATGGAAACCGTCCGGATCCTGAGATAATTCAAGTGATTTTGCCGAGGTTACTTCCCCCAAGTGCAAGACTTTATTGAATTAAGAAATCCGACTACACTGGAAAAAGTTATTTGAGCTAGCAATCCAGTTTGAAAGTAGAAGAACGGCGGACATTGAAAGAAGACACCAATATCAACAACGAAACCAATTTGGTGCGCCAAAACTACAGCAAACTCAAGCACACGGCTACGGAAGCAAAGCGAATCAGTGGGCAAGGAAACCCGAGCATTCAAAAACAGCCGGCGAACGTCGACAGTTCAATAGCAATCCAGGAAAAAAGTCTCAAGGCCAGTGGAAAAAGAAGGAAAGCACGGAAATGAAAAATAATTTAAACTAAAACGGATTTCTGCTGACGGGAGGGTGCGGAAATCCGAAGGCCAAGAAAACCCCTCTTCCTTCAAGTTAAATACAGTAATGGTGAAAAATTTGACTCTTCCGAAGATTGAAGTGTTGGTGAATAATATCCCAGCCACCGCACTCCTGGATACAGGCGCGCAGTGTTCCTGTGTGGCAGAAGATTTTTTTAGGAAGTATTTTCGTAAATATCGCATATATAATTCGGATAATACGACAGTGTTAGCTGCGCAAGGAGAAAGATGTAAGTGCATAGGTAAATTACCACTGTACATCCGTATCAAGGACGAACAAGTAAAGGTTATGTTTTTCATAGTAAAGAATCTGCAAGCACACATATTATCTTAGGAATAGATTTTCTTTCAGAGGCACAAGCAACGCTGGATTTTTAATGAAGCGTCCCTTAAGCTGACGATGAAACCAGTTCGTGAAGAAAAGGCTGAACCGCCGATGTTAAACCTTGACCACCTGCCTAATGAAGAGCAACGAAGAATCCGACAAGTGGTAAGTGAATTTGCTTCGTTATTTAGTGATATTCCAGGATTTACTCAGGTTACTAACCATAGTATTGACACCGGAGATTCAATGCCAGTTCGCCACAAAGCATACCGGTATGATAAGAATAAGGAAAAAATTATAGAATGGCATATCACCGATATGCTACGTAAAAAGATCATAACGCCCATCTCAAGTAGTTATGCTAGCCCGGTGGTTTTATGTAAGAAAAATAATGACTATCCATTGACACATCCAAAAAGGTGGAGATTCGCGATTGACTACCGTAAATTAAACTCCATAACTAAATATCCGGTATATCCGTTACCTATTATTGAAGAAATTCTAAGGAACATAACATCACCAAATATATGACGACTTTAGACTTAACGACTGGTTATTTTCAAATAGGGGTTAGGCCTGAGGACGTGCCTAAGACTGCTTTTATAACCAAGTCTGGCACTTATGCATTTCTGCGTATGCCGTTTGGCCTTTCAGGGGCACCGGCAACATTTCAGCGATGTATGGACATTGTGTTAAGGACCTGTTCTTGGAAAGTCCACATTTATCTATTTAGACGATATCATTATTACTAGTGATAATCTCGACCAACATGTACAGGATTTAAGACAGGTGTTTTCTTTATTAAATGAGGCCGGTCTAAAAGTTAATGTCGAAAAGTGCAAATTTGCAGCCCCTGAATTAAAATATTTAGGTTACAAAATATCTCAGAAAGGAATCGAGACAGACGAATCAAAAATAATCGCTGTACAAAAGTATCCGACTCCAAACACGGCAAAGAAGCTCTCTTCTTTTCTAGGACTTTGTTCATATTATAGGTCCTTTATAAAAGATTTTGCAGCTATTGCTGAACCATTGTTAAAATTAAAAAGGAAAAAGGCAAGATTCTCGTGGACGGCCGAAGCCAATAGTTTCTTTCGAAAAATTAAAACAAGCATTAACGCAAGCCCCTGTGTTGAAATTTCCTGAAAAGGATGAGAATTTAGAAATTTCAGCGGATGCTTCGGATTATGCGGTAGGAGCGGTACTTTCGCAAAATCAGCAGCCCGTGGCATTTTTTAGCCGAACTTTAAATCAAACACAAAGAAACTATTCCGCGACCGAGAGAGAGGCACTTGCAGTTCTGTTAGCAGTGCAAAAGTTCCGAGTCTATTTTGGAAAGGCGCCAATAACAGTGTACTCTGATCATGCGGCGGTAACTAGATTGTACTCAGGGAAAAAAACTTATCCCCAAGGTTAATAAGATGGGCACTCAAGCTACAAGAATATAATCTGGTAATCAAGCATACCCCCGGAAAGGAAAATATCGTAGCAGATGCCCTATCCAGAATTAAAATAGATGAAGAAGGTAATACCTGTAAAGGTGGCAATGCTCACAGCATGTACAATAAATTCCCGAGAAACTGTAATAACCGAACTGGGTAAGGATCCTGAGTTTGGAAGCATTTATGAGTATTTAAAGGATCCTGAAAATTTTAGCCACCAAGATATTGTGGCGATAAGAAATAGGGCGGCCCATTACGAACTAATAGATGGTCTATTATTTATACAAAAACTACGAATTCCAACAACGAATTTCGACCTGTTATCCCAGCTAGTCTTAGATTAAATATCCTGCAGGAGCTCCATGACAGCCCTTTAGCTTCTCATGCTGGTATTCGAAAAACTATCCAACGCGTACGCGAGGCAGTCTATTTTCCTGAACTGCAAAAGTTAACAAGGGCGTATGTCCAGTCCTGCCCAACATGTCAAGCAGTTAATTATATTAATTTCCGCCCGGCCGGGTTTCTAAATAGTATTAAATCCGAATTTCCAAATGAAATAATTGGCATCGATTTATTGGGCCCTTTCCCAAAAAGTCAGTTAAATAAAAGTCGCTATCTCCTTGTTATGGTTGATCATTTTAGTAAGTGGACCGAAATTGTTCCCTTAAAACGAGCCTCCGCGAAATTAGTTACTGATTCTATTTTAAATAAATATATTTTAAAATACGGGGCGCCCCTAAAAGTTATATCGGATAATGGTCCTCAATTTGTAAGTAATGTATTTGAAGACATGTGCCAAAAACTGGGCATACGTCATTTAAAAATGGTCCCGTATCGGCCGCAATCAAATATAGCGGAACGGGTCAATAGAAATATAGTGAAAATTATCCGTAGTTATGTTAAAAATTTTCATAAAAGCTGGGATAACTATGTCAATGAATTTGCTTTCGCCCTTAGGACCGCAAAACATGATACAACGGGCAAAACTCCTGCTGAGTTATTTTAGGCAGAAAGATTATAACGCCGTTAGATAAATTATTTTATGTGCAACAAAGAGCCCCAGAATTTAAAATGGGTGATATAGAAAAACTAATTAAAGAAGCAAAAAAGAATACTGAAGTAGCACAAGAGAAAACAGAAGCTGTATTATGACTTGAAACGACGGGGAGTAACTTATAAAGTAGGGGATGAAGTTGTTAAAAATTAAGCATTCACTTTCTTCAGCACCAGAAGATAAAACTGCCAAATTTTTTCCACGATTTGAAGGACCATATGTTCATAGAAAAAATAACTCACGCTGTTAGTAGTGTTAAAAGCCAGAAATGGTGAAACCTGCTCCGCAAACATTGATCAAATAAAACCCTACTATGATCGTAATAAAATGCAAATTTTCAGATCTTTTGCAGGATCCGGCACGGCAGACACCGCAGGCACAAGCTCCAGAGGTGGAACAACGACAAGTACAAGGGCAAGCCAATTAAGAGGCAGGAGCAAGTGAAAAGAAAAGTTTCCCCGCGGAAAAATTGAAGGTAA